CGACGTGGCGCTCTTGGGCAGTGGCTGCAGCGGGTGCTCCGGCCGCTCGGCCTCCATGGCGAAGCTGACGGGCCGCAGGAAGCAGATGTCCAGGCTGGACTCGGAGGAGGCGGGCGAGCAGTTCTCGAAGAGGGCCGGAGCCTGGAACGGCTCCTCGTCGTAGGGCGCGGGCAGCGCGAAGATCTCGCCGCCGTACTCGAACTCTTCGTAGGCCGCGGGCACGAAGCCGCGGGCATCGGGCAGGAGCTCGGCCGGGGCGCGCAGGGAGCGCTCTACGTTGCCCAGCGGCTCGGCCGGAGAGGGCTCGAAGTCCATCTCCGGGATGGCCTGCAGGGGCCCGGCCAGCGCCTTCACGTCCTGCTCGGCCGCGCAGAACTGCGTCGGTGCCAGAAGGCTCTCGGGACGCTCGTGCTTCCTGCCCTCCAGCTCCCAGTCACTGGGCTTCCCGGGCTGCATGCTCTCCATCAGGCTTTGCTGCTGTTGACTTTTCTTCACTGGGGGCATCAGATGGCTTTAGGGGGGAAACAGAGTACAAAAGAGGTGTGCTGACGGCGGGTTAGTGCAGGCCTCTCGCCTGCCCGCGGCCCTCCTGGCCGCCCTCCCAGGCGCCTGCGCATGCCACGTCCCAAGCTCCACAAACTTCCACTAAGGCGCTCCCACGAACCCCCGTCCCCAGGCGGAGAGTGGACAAGGCAGTCCGTCGAGCGGAGACCCGAAGGTATTGTCTGAGCTTCTGGGAAATGGCCTGCGGGCCAGGGACGGGCATCACCCCGCGTGGAAGCCCTGACCCTCCTCACCACCCGCGGTGCTCCAAGGCACACCTTCAACTCTCTTCTCTCCCTTGCTTGCCCTAGCAGAGTCATCCAAAATAATGGAAACTCAACTTTTGTTCGACTTGTGGATCTTCACACTCAGAAACAAATTACGTTCCTAGATAAAGTAAACGTGGCATGATCTTGATAACTTCTGAATGAGGGCATATGGAGTTCACTGTACTCTTCTATGTAAATTTGAAATTTTCATAATAAAATTTTAAAAATATTCGTTGTCACTGTAAAGCATGCTATATAATTCATCTCAAACTTCCACCCACAAAGAATTACCAATATGTAAAAAAAAGCTGTCACTCGATATGCCCAATTTCATGGAGGGTTTTTGGTTTTGGAGTCATGGGTAATGGATAATTTACACAGTTTACAAACTAGGATAGGGTACCAGCAGATGGGATGTCCAGTTGTGCTGGACTTACATTGACAGATGTAAATGGACACTGACCAGAAGTGGTTATTCTGCTAGTTTACGTATTCATATTTTAATTCTACCACAAAAATGCACAAAGACTTTGGGAGGCCGAGGCAGACGGATCACCTGAGGTCAGCAGTTCGAGACCAGCCTGGCCAACATGGTAAAACCCCATCTCTACTAAAACTACAAAAATTAGCCGGGCATGGTGGCACGTGCCTGTAATCCCAGCTAGTCGGTAGGCTGAGGCAGGAGAGTCCCTTGAACCTGGGAAGGTGGAGGTTGCAGTGAGCTGAGATCATGCCATTGTACTTCAGTACCAAAAACAAAAAAAAAAAAAATGCAAATATAAATGCTAAAACCAATATTTTACTCTAGTGGTCTTAAAATGAAAATTAGGTCTCACGTTAACATGTGCAAGAGTGAGACAAAATATTGACCTCATTTGAATTCTCTTTTAACTTGGAAGAAAGATTGGGGGTTTTATTTTCCATACGCAGAGTGCAGTGGCAGCCATATTGTTCAATCTGGGTATAATCTCCAGGGGTTTCATATTTTGACTATTTGTTACATTTCAAAGATGAAGTTTCATAACTGCCTCAAGAGTTGAAGTGATCCATGAAATAAATATCTACTTTCTGCCTCTCTTCCCACTTTCTACACCTGTCCCTTAACATTAGTGCCTTCCTCTGGGACCCAAGCATTGGGTTGTCTGCTTGGCTGGCACATATAGGCCTAATAGGGAAAGGGGACGGTGGAATCTAGGCTGCCCTGCTAACCCACACAGACTGGCTGGGTCCCAAAGGCATTGACCTTAACCTTCCCACAGCAACAGGTGCTTACGTGACAGCAGGGCCAGAACTGGGAGCAGAAGGGTAGGGTTGCAGCATCTCTTCTGAGTGGATCCCGGTGTCACGGACAACCTCAGGACCTGCAGTGGGGGAAGCATCTTGCCCGGCATTGGCACACTGGGAAGCCAGCCCTTTGTACAGCTTCGCCATGGATGACCTAACAGAATGGAAGTAACGGTTCTCAGGTTGTACGGTGGCAAACTGGCTCTCTGAACACAGATTATGCCAAAAAAGATGGAGAGATGTCTCAGATAAAGTTTGCTGTGAAGGTCTCTATCTCCAGGGGCCTTTGCAAACTAAGTTGCTTTGCTTAATAGGGTGCAAGCTGGCAAGAGTAGGGAAGCTGATTCACTGGCTGAAAAGAACTTGGGGGAAGGGGTTGGGGGTATGGAGAGACATCTTCCATCACAGGAGCCCTGGCTTGGGAGACAGCATCTTTTTCTGGTCTGAAGCTTCCACAGAAATGATTCTGTTTTCCTCCACAGGAGTTGGGATGAAATTGAAGGAAATCCAGGTCATTAGGAAGCTGTGCTGTGGGCTGCTTCTGTTCCCTCCGAAGCTCAGATTCTCCCTAATAAACCCTTCCTATTTCTCCCTAATATAAAACCTATTCGAAATTCCTCTCCCTTATTTGCTTTATTTTTGTCCATATCACATATCACCATCTTATTTATTTGTTCACTGTCCAACTCTAAAAAGGAAGCTCCACATGGCAAAGATTTGGTTGGGGCCATTTTGTTCCTTTCAGTATATTCAGTGCATGGAACAGTGCCTGACACACAATAGGTGCTCAATAAATACTTGTTGAACTGATAAAGAAAACTATGTTGTGGCCTTTTAACTGCAATTTGGAACCAGGCAAGTTTAGAGTCGTTGAACTATTTTTGAGGTGGTTAGCAACATGGGATGAGAGTGGGTCTATGTAAGCAGTAGAGTGAAGTGTTATTCTGCTAAAATAATTTCCACCGGGTAGTCAGTGACTTGCTCCTGTAGCCAGTCTGACTAGCTCTTTCTCTCCCCTTCTCTCTTCCCTTCTACCTCCCACCACTGCATTTCAGCTACTTAACACACAACGTGGTTACTTGTGAAAGACACCCAGAGTAACTGGTCTTTGACCCTCTAGACCGCACCATCAGAACCTTACTTCTTGAGCTTTTTCCGTTTCTGAATAAGCAAATCTTCATTGCACTGAAACAGCAGGGTGTAGTGTGAGATAAATACTCGGAGGCGCTGGACACACACCAATAGTAGATAATAGTCAGGGTGCTCCTGCTCTGTGAACTTCAGGACATTCTGGATGGAGGGGAAAAGGAAGCAGCATTGCATAATTAGCAAGAAAATTTGTTTTGTCTCTTCTGCACCTTACCTTGATCTATTGTGGGAGATTGATAGCCATTTAATCAAAACAACGAACAATACACATGGCCCACCTAATTATACGCTGAAAGTATGACCATACACTGGCTGCTTTCTATCATACCAAGGGAAAATAAGTTACTATCGGACCTGTTTGAGTTGAATGTGAACATAAAATAATTTCATCTGAAAAGTCAGAAGCATCTCCTAATTAGACCTCTGAAGTAATAGCGGCATTCTAACAATTACTGTCTATAAGCAGTGCCTTAACTCAAAAGAGCCAGACCAATGTTGACAACGTCAGGCATCAAGGCAGGCGAGGGAGGGGGATGTTTATGATCAAGCCTGGTGGCCCCTCCTGTTACATTCCCCGCTGTACATTTCCCCGCTGTGCTGTAGTGGAACATGCATGTGACTGGGATTTGGGAAAGCTAAAATGTATCTAGTACTTCCTATCGCCAGGTAGTAAGCCCTTTACGTATACTATCTCATTTAATTTTTACCTCAACCTGCTTAAATAGGTACTATTATAAACTCCATTTAACAAATAAGGAAATTGAGGTACAAAGAAGGTAAATGATCTTCATCAGGTTACACATCTAGTAAATAATGGAGGAAAGGTTTGAACTCAAGTCAGAGAGTAGAACCAGGTCTTGTTTGCCATATTCTACTATTTGCAAAATCTGGGTTTCAGTCCTAGTTTTTTTTTACCTACTAGGTGTGTTAACTTGGGTAAATTGTTAACTTTTTTGGCCCTGCATTTTCTCATGTAAAATGTGACAACAATAATACCTAATTCATGGGATTGTTGAAAAGATTAAATAAGATCATTATTGTGAGAAAATGCTTTTAGGATCTAAAGCTATATACAATTGAAAGTCTTTTCAGGGCACGGGTGGTTGTTCACACCTGTAATCCCAGCACTTTGGGAGACCAAGGTGGGCAGATCACGAGGTCAGGAGATCGAGGCCATCCTGGCTAACACGGTGAAACCCCATCCCCACTAAAAATACAAAATTAGCCGGGTGTGGTGGTGGGCGCCTGTAGTCCCAGCTACTTGGGAGGCTGAGGCAGGAAAATGGCGTGAACCTGGGAGGCGGAGCTTGCAGTGAGCCAAGATTGCACCACTGCACTCCAGCCTGGGCAACAGAGCGAGATTCCGTCTCAAAGAAAAAAAAAAATACAAAAGTAAGTCAGGCATAATGGCAAGTGCCTATAGTCTCAGCTACTCAGGAGGCCGAGGTGGGAGCATTGCTTGAGCCTGGGAAGTTGAGGATGCAGTGAGCCAAGATCAAGCCAAGATCACACCACTGCACTCCAACCTGGGCAACAGAGCCAGACCCTGTCCCAAAAAAAAAAAGTCTTTTCAATTTTGATACTTTGATACTGGACTACTGGACTACTTCTACCTGAGATTAGTCCCAAGCATTTCTAAGATGCTTTCATTACTTAAGAAGATCAGTCAGCAATTAAACCAGAACAGGTGGGTGGTGGGAAGAAGAGGATCTAGTGGGGGTTTGTGAGCCTCTCTTTCAATTCTTCTTCCTCCAGGATATCACAAGCCCTGCAGGAAAATGGTGTGAAGACATCAGCTCACCATCTTCATGCCTTTTCTGTGACATAAAGCTTAAACATGGCATGGTAGAACCTTGGACCCATGCCAAAAGAAAGTAGTCAGGATAGCAGTTAAGTGAGCAGATTAGATGGATATTTAGATGTCAGGTGGTGGCATTTAGATAGCTGTAAAACCAAAATGGAAAGAACTGAATGAAGTGCTTAGAATCTAGCAGGAGTGGTTATAGAAAGATCCTGGATCAGCTGAGGTGGAAGTTGCTGGTAAGTAAAGACAGAACTTCAGAGGTAAGCATAATGAGCTGAACATTTTTAGAAATAAAGATTTTAGGCTGGGTGCAGTGGCTCACACCTGTAATCCCACCACTTTGGGAGGCTGAGGCGGGCGAATCACTTGAGGTCAGGAGTTCAAGACCAGCATGGCCAACATGGTGAAACCCCATCTCTACTAAAAATACAAAAATTAGCTGGGCATGGTGGCACATGCCTGTAGTCCCAGCTACTCAGGAGGCTGAAGCAGAAGAGTCGCTTGAACCCAGGAGGCAGAGGTTGCAGTGAGCCAAGATCGCACCACTGTACTCCAGCCTGGGTGACACAGCAAGACTCTGTCTCAAAAGAAAAAAAAAAAAGAGAGAGAGAGAGATTTTAGCTCATACCACAGGGTATCATGGGTTATGGGGTAATCATAGCAATCGAAGTAAACGCTTCTTAGAAATATTAATGATTCTTGAGGCTTTACAGTATTTCTCAGTTGGGAGCCAAAACCAATAATTATTTAGCATGCAAATCAGTTTGGTGGCTTTCCCACCCATGCCTACCTGCAGATGTATCAGATATTCAGGGATGCGCTGGACTATGTGAAAAAACAACGTGTAGATGTCAGATTTAATCTCTTCATCACCCTGAATGAAAAAAAGGTCAGGTCACTCTTCAGTGTTCCTCCATCTGTGGCAGCAGAACCTGAGTCGGTCCCACCAGAGTAGGAAGGGTTTCCTCCTTGAGCATTTTCTTCCCGGAGATTGTCACAGAGCATTGACCTCTCATGGGAGAGGCCACATGTTCAGGGACATGCCCTAGGAGACAGCTCTTCTCCCATAGGGAGCATATCATATACTTCTTTTGAATCCACCCAAATTTCCAAACTACCCTCTCCTTCCACTCAGCGCAGTTGCAGACAGAAGCCGGCACTCAATAACCTCTATTTGAGTTGAATTAATTCATTAAGACTCTCCAGCAAGTAATCATGACAATGGTGTAGTAATAGGCTCTAAGGGAGACTTGGTGCCTCAGAAGAGTGGAAAAGGGAGTGTTATTAGAAACTAGTCAGCTAGCTGCAGAAAACATGCTGTACTTTCTCCGTGTCCCTTCCTTTTCTCTCTCTTCTCTTTCCCAGGTATTTGCTGAAAGCTAACATGGTAGGCATTATACTGGGTTGGGAGTAGTGGGGGGTTGAAGTAGAAACTTAATAAGACAGAGCCTCTCATCTCTTGTGAAATTTGATTAACTCTTAGTGTTGGGGCTTCTGATACTGTTTGTTCCTATTGATCTGAAATAACTAAGCTGTTATACATGTATATGTGCTTACTGAGCACCTAATGCATCATTGCAGTAGCAATACTTCAAGCAACATGACTAGAGCCACCTTATGATCTTATAAACCGACAAAGGATGACTGAAGTTTAATATTCGGATTCACCTCTTCTGAGACTGAAAAAAACCCGCCACATACAGCAGGTGAGCTGCAGCCTGGAGATCTCTGCATAGAATGCCCATTATAGAACTATAGTTTGTCCATAGTTCCAACGGAATGGAACAGAGGGTCAGTAAGGCAGGGAGAGGACCAACACAATGGCACTGATCCACAAGTGAGTTCCTTTAACGCCAGGTAGTAGTATTAGTGGCTGTGTTCGGGCCATTCCCCAGCCTAGAAAGCAGAGTGCATGTGCTGTATTGACTGCATGGATGAGCAACATCATATGATACCACGTGCAGATGAAGGATAGCATATACATGGTGTTAACTCACCTCTTTCAGGACTACAACATGAACCAACGAGATGCACTCAGGCAGGTCCCTTAGGTAGGCAACATAATAATCCAAGAAATTATTCTTTAAAACAAACATAAAAAATGCATGGTAAGAACCTGAAAACAGGATCTATAATATTTTCATAGAGTCATATATGTAAAAGAAGAGTACTTTGCAGAGATTATCTTATTCATTTAATATGTTCTTTATTTTATATATTTTGAGGCTTTAAAAAATTTATCTTAGACCGGGTGCAGTGGCTCACTCCTGTAATCCTAGCACTTTGGGAGGCCAAGGCGGGTGGATTGCCTGAGCTCAGGAGTTTGAGACCAGCCTGGGCAACATGGTGAAACCCCATCACTGCTAAAATACAAAAAATTAGCCGGGCATGATGGCGGGTGCCTGTAATCTCAGCTACTTGGGAGGCTGAGGCAGGAGAATTGCTAGAACTGGGGAGGCAGACCTTGCAGTGAGCCGAGATTGCACCACTGCACTCCAGCCTGGGGGACAGAGCAAGACTCTGTCTTTAAAAAAAAAAAAAAAAAAAGTGTCTTAAAAAAAAATTTTGGTTTTAAGGTAAACATCCTTACTGTTTTGGAATCAAAACTCAGCATCTCCTCCCTAATGAGAGAAAGTGAAATAATAAACCAAGGGAGGAGGGAGGTTCATGTAAGCTGAAAATGTATTTTTTTAGTCATTTAACAATAAAAACATATATTTTATTTTTGTAATTAATTTCATTTCAGTCAATCATCTACATCCAGATGAGGGACTCTGCCCATCCCGCTTCATATCATCCAGATCAGTAGTTCACAACATTTTCTAGTAATTGCATATTTCCACTAATTGCATATTTATCTATGCATTATCCCCTTAGGAAAATCATTCTCAGCTTATAAAGTTATAATAATTCTCAGCAAAAGGAAGAATACTGAACACAAGTAAGTAAAAGTGATATTAGAGGATATTAGTACATTATATCCACTCTAGTCTATAGAAGAAAATAATTTGTAAACTTTGTATTGTTACCCACAGATGAGAATAATTGATACACAAAAATTGATTTCAGGCAAAGTCTGGCTTGCAGACCAATTTTAATTAGCCCACACAATCTTTTAAAAATAAGAAAATTTCCCACAAAACTCTGGATTTCCAGCTTTTCTTAAAATATCAGAAGCTCTGGCAACTCTAGTCCTTTTTTCCTGCATAATGATTGGACAAAGCTAAGTAGCTATTCCTTGTAAAACAACACAGCTGCTCCACTGCAGCTCACACTTCACACCAGTCCATACTGTGTTCACTTCACTCATTGATGCCACTGTCTGGCCCTGTAGGCATTTGAGTTTGCAGCCTCTGGCTTGGATCATGTTTCCTTTGTAGGATATCATAGAGATTGCAAAATTCAAGATAATAGCCACCCATCACATTTAAAAAAAAATCCCCAAGGAATGAAAATTGTGTGTGAAAATACAGATGTATAAACAAACTCTCATATGTATATATATGCATGTGTGTGTATATATTTCATGTGTATATATGTACATATATGTGTATATATATACACATGCATATATATACATGTTTTAATGTACATATACATTTTTTCTTTTTTTAATTTAATAGAGACAGGGTCTTGCTGTATTGCTCAGGCTAGTTTTGAAGTCCTGGGTTCAAACAATTCCCCTGCCTCAGCCTCCCAAAGTGTTGGGATTACAGGCATGAGCCACTACACCCAGCCCACAAATATATATACATACATTTATATAAACACAAACACACACACAATACATACACACATCCACATGCATACTCGACGGAGGCAGTTATAGTACAGTGGAAAGTTGTGAACTAGAAGTCAGAAGACCTAACCTAGGGTTCTGAAAGTCACTCATCTCCAACTACCTAGCTAGCAGGGTGATTTCAGCAAGGCTTTTATATCTCTCTGAATCATTCCATGATCTGTATGTAGAATGAGAAAGTTAGACTAGATCTCAGTGTTTCTTCTAGCTCTGAAATTCATTGCTTCTAGATTCTCTATTAAGAGAAGTAGACAAATGAGACACAAATCCATATAAGTAAAATGTATGAAGGGGTGGAAAAAACCTTACCTCATCATTTGTTAACTTAAGGAATAAATCTCCAAGAACGCCTTGGCGTGGCCACTTCAGGACCCTTTCCTGCAGTGCGTGAAGCAGATCCAGGTGCTGCTGGACGAGATACCGTAAAGAGCCAGGGAAGAGGCTTGAAACAGAATAGAGACGGAATCACACAAACCAGGTGTGGAGAAGAAAGGACCCTACAAAAATACATGCAGCAGGGCCCATTCTCCCGGCCATCCAACATACTCTGAGTCACAGGCCTGCATTTAGGATTTTTAAAAGTTTTTCATTGCACACCTAATAGCAGATATCCTGACTACAAAAAAACAAAACAAAACAAAACAAAACAAAAAAACCTTTTACTAATGGCTTCTATACAAATGTGTATTGAACTAATAAAGAGGCCTGGCATGCCACACCTGTAATCCCAGCACTTTGGGAGTTGGGCGGATCACCTGAGGTCAGGAGTTTGAGACCAGCCTGGCCAACATGGCAAAACCCTGTCTCTACTAAAAATACAAAAATTAGCTGGGCATGGTGGCATGCACCTGTAATTCCAGTTACTTGGGAGGCTAAGGCAGAAGAATCACTTGAATCCGGGAGGTACAGTTTGCAGTGAGCTGAGATCACGCCACTTCACCCCAGCCTGGGTGACAAAGCGAGACTCTGTCTCAAAAATAAATAAATCAATAAATAAATAAATAAATAAATAAATAAAATACAAATAAAGAGCACATCACTTGAAAGACCTTTTTACATGCTCATTTAAATGACACTCAGTGGAAATTCTAATGGATACCTTTTTCCATGTTTTAGAGCTATTCCTATTTGATGTGCAAAATAGTCTATTCTAATTAGTGTTGTAGATGCAGCACTCAGGTGGCATCTATGTGACTATTCTCAGTTACCAGTAGGAGACTGCTATTTAGGTAAGTAGGAAAATTTGTTTAAAGTTGGCAACTAAAAAGCTCAGGGAGTTGTAGGGTATGAGAGGGTTTCTTTTTTCCTTTTCTTCAATTTCTAAGAGGAATACAGGGCCAGGACAGAGTCTTGTCTGAGTAGGCTATTAATACAGTTTCGATGTGTGTCCCCGCTCAACTCTCATACTGAAATGTAATCCCCAGTGTTGGAAGTGGGGCTTGGTGAGAGGTGACTGTATCATGAGGGAGAATTTCTCATGAATGGTTTAGCACCATCCCTTTTGGTACTGTCCTACCAAGTGATAGTGATAGTGAGTGAGTTCTCATGAAATCTGGCTGTTTAAAAGTGTTTAGTGCCTCCCGTCTCTCTGTCTTGCTCCTGCTCTGGCCATGTGACATGCCTGCTTCCTCTTCGCTTTTCACCATGATTGTAAGTTTCCTGAGGCCTCCCCAGAGGCTGAGCAGATGCCAGCATCATGCTTCCTGTACAGCCTGCAGAACCATGATCCAATTAAACCTCTTTACTTTATAAATTACCCAGTCTCAGGTATTCTTTATAGCAATGTGAAAACAGCCTAACACAGCTACTGACCAGGCCTGGCCTGCTACTCCCTGAATTTTACAAAGCACCTTTCCTATCTTTCCGTCCCTCTCTCCTCCATCTTGCAATGTACCTCCTTTTTTTTTCTTTTTTTTTTTTTCAGAAGTGATGAAGGGAAGAAGGGAGATGTCAGAGAAGGGTGGGATGGAGAGGAGAGATAGAGAATCATGGGAGGAAGAGGAAGGGGGACTAGCTGGGTAAGAGTGAGGTGATTAGAGGCCTATAGGAAAGAGGAAGAAAAAAACAAAAAGAAGCAGAGTTTTTCTGGGTTACAGCAAGGATTGGAGCTCTAACTTGGTGATTTAAGGTAGGTTCCTTTATGCTTTCAGCACCGCAAGTTTAACAAGCAGGAAAGAGATGGTCTGGTTGTTCTGAACTTACTTGAATATTTCCCCATGGTCAAATGAGAGTAAACTGCTGGACAACTGGGGTGCTTTCCCAAGAAGCAAACCTTTGTTGGAACAATAGGAAGGACGCCAGATCGAAAGGAGGTTTTTTCCAACTCATTTCCAAGCCAAGCAAAGTGACCCCTGTGACTGTAGCTCAGAGGAGACACACTAACATGAGAATAGGGTACTTAGCCCCCAGTGAACGGATACGAGGAAGCCTTCCACTCCCATCTTCCACTCCCTCCACCTCCTGTGCCTGGAGCCCCCACATGTGCAAAGGAGGAGAGGCCTCCTGACCTGAGCACTTACAATGGAACAGTGGGCTTAGGAGATCAAAGAAATCCCTGTCCAGATCAGAGGGGAATTTGGAGGGGTGGCTAGGAGATATACTGACTGGGAGAAGACCATAAACCTGATGGAGAAAAGCACAACTGATTGTACTGAAAGAGTAAAATGCTGCACCAGCCAAAGATCTAGGTGCAAAAGATTTCTTCCTACCCAGTGGTTGTAAATGACTTTGTGTAATAGTCCTGGTGTGACCCTGGAAGATATTAGGGCACCATGGGAAGATCTGACTTTGTGATGAATTGTCCATATATGTAGATAACATGTCTTGGATTATTGATTTCCTTTTTCTTTCCTTCATTCGCCTCCCTCCCTTTCTTCATCCCTTCTTCTCTCCCTCCCTCCCTCTCTGCTTCCCTTTCTTCCTTCCTTCTCCCTTTCTTTCTAGAGAGCTGCATTCTGCTACACTGTGGTCAGTGTACTTGGAGGATGGCAGAGCTGGTACCAATCTCCTCCTGGACTGCCCATCGGGATGATCGTTTGAGATTTCAGGGTGGGGTCGGAGAAGGCTAAGACCCCCATCAAGTACTGTGGAAGCACATAAAATTACATGAAAAACAATGACCTACAGTGGGTTCTGTATGAAATATTGAAAACGGGCTTTAAACCTTTTAAACAAATTTAACAAGGGTATTATTTGAAATTAGGGAGGAGTGTGAAATCAGAAGACAGAGAGCAAAGGGAGAAAGATGGCAAGAAGTCCAGCCACACTTCACCTGTTTCACTCTTTTGCCTGGCGCCAGACCTGACGCCCAGAAGCAACTTTTTCATGAAGACAAAGTATTCAGAGCTCAGCTTTTTTTTTTCTATTCCTTACTGGGGATGAAATTATGGCAACATGAGTAGTTTATTATTTCTAAAATCTTTAAAGTTTTTATCTCCTAACAATATAGTACTTAATCAATGAGGGAAATACACTAAAAGCAAGAAAGAAAAATCCAGTTATAGTTTCAGGTTAATAACTCAGCTTTTGCCAGCCCAGAATGAGGCCAAGATAACTCCTGAGCTTGGCAGTAGCAGGTTCCCGCCACCTTGGAGGGGCATGGTCATTAAACATGTGCCACCTGGTGGTGATCTGTAGCACGAAGCTTGTTGTGCTCTTGGTGGACATAGCACTGGAGTTTAGTTTACAAGGCTAATCGACAATCCTGCTGAGGTGATCACTGCCCCTTCTGTAAGTGTTCAGACAGAACTGTGATCCTGAGGCTGTGACTCTAACTAGGTGAGTCGGAGTCAAAAAAGCCCAGAGCTCCAACTTCTGTGATCCTTCGACAAATGACAGCCTGGGCAACAGAGTGAGACACCGTCTTTATAATAAACTGAAAAATTAGCTGGGCATGGTGGCTCATGCCTGTAATCCCAGCTGGGGATGCTGAGGCAGGAGGATCACTTGAGCCCAGAGGTTTGAGGCTGCAGTGAGCTGTGATTGGGCCGCTGCACCCTTCTCCAGCCTGGGCGACAGACAGAGACCCTGTCTCTAAACAAAACAAACAAATGAACCATAGCCCTCAAGTTCTGCCCAGGTTTTAGCCAGCAGCATGTGCCCCTGCAACTTCCAGCCCTTTCAGCCAGGGGCAGGGCTGGCTTCAAACAGGCTGAGGAAGCTCTTGAGTGACTCACTTTGTTTTAGGAAAAAACCTAAGGTTTTATTTAATAGGTTGGAGAAGATGTGGCCACCTCAGGCTTGAGTGTCAAGTTGTACTTGCAGTGGGGGTTATTTGCATCCCAGGTTACTTTCCAATTGGGGTAAAATGCTGAAGGCTTGTGGCTTGTGATGGGAAAATTAGTAAATGTTAATATACTTCTTTTCATCTTTGCATGGAGAAAAATGCCAGTAGAGAAAAGGAACAATCTCATTCTGCTTTGCATTTCCTTCAGCTGGTTTATTTAAAGTACACACAGAGGCTAGGCACAGTGGCTCACACCTGTAATCCCAGCACTTTGAGAGGCCGAGGTGGACAGATCACTTGAGGTCAGGAGTTTGAGACCAGCCTGACCAAAATGGTGAAACCTCGTCTCTACTAAAAATATAAAAATGACCTGGGCATGGTGGTGTGTGCCTGTAATCTCAGCTACTCAGGAGGCTGAGGCAGGAGAATCACTTGAACCCGGAAAGAGGAGGTTACAGTGAGCCGAGTTCACACCACTGTACTCCAGCCTGGGCAACAGAGTGAGATCCTGTCTCAAAAAAATAAAGAAAGAAATAAAGTACACACAAAGGTTTCAGAAAAGCTTTTAAAAAAGAAGAAAGATAGTGAGTGGAGGAGAATAATGAAAATCTAACCCTAAAATAGAAAAACAGCAGCACCACCAAGCTCAGAACCAGAGACTTCATATTCAGTACTAACAAAGAGTGTGGGGTTGAAGCTTTTCTCTGCTTGGTCCATGCAAAGAAAAAAGAGGGTTAGCCTAGCAAATAACTACCATGAATAGCATTATTGCAGGTGTCTTGAAGTAACTACGATCTCACTTTCATAGAGGATTGTATGATAGCTTTAATTTTTTAATCTTGTAGGATTTGAGGGAGAGATCTACTCTTTCCTCCCAGTGATGGGTCATAAGAGAACATCTTAGAAAAATAGGAAGTGGCAGCAAGTCAACAAGGGTCCTCTCTTTTATCTACCCAAATCTTCTGCAGGGTCTGGTCTCTCCCCTACGACCTCCCGCCTGCTGGAGGCTTGCAACAAGGGCTAGACAAACATATCTAGCAGTCCTACTTAACAAATCAACTGAGATCTGAAGTGAACACTTCCAGGCTGTGCAAGAGGGAGGACTGAGTTTTGAAACAGGAAGAGACAACTCTATGCTTCTGGCTCTCGGAGAAACTTTATATACTGCTGTTAAGGCAGTGGCCTTGGGGAAGTGGTATGATGTATAAGAGCACACAATACAGGGTCCGGCAGGCCTGCGTTTGAATCCTGGCACTCATTGGCTCCGCAGCTTTAAGCTTCTCTGGGCTTTAGTTCCTTCATCTGTAAGGTAGGGGTCACGGGGTTCTGCTGAACATTTCGGGAAGTTATAAATCAAGTGCCTAGCAGAGCAGCTGCTTACTACTCCCTTCCACAGTAAACAGTTCTTTCTCTTTTCCCCGCCTGACCCCGCCTCCCCAGATTTTCAGACTAAGAAGAGATGCTGCTGGCTTAGAATCTTCTATGTGGAAGGAAAGCCACACCAAAGGGTACACCGCCTTTAGATTTCATTACCGTAAACTGAGTAGGTCTTTGGCAACATCAAGACCGCTGGAGCCTATAGAGACTGCCAGAGGCCTGCAGCGCAGCTGGGAGGATCAAGGAGGGGGAATTGGAAGGGCCAGATGGGGAAGGAAGGACTGCTGAGAATCTGGGCAGCGTCTTAGAGGTGAGGCCCAGTCCAGATGGTCACAGCTTTAGCTGGGTCACCTTAGCCTTTCTGTTCTTGTTGCTCTGTATTTTGTTTACCTCGGTTTTGTAGTAAAATAATTCTTGAAAATAGTCAAGCCACTTGTGGGTTTGTCAGGGAGTAGTGGCTCACTCGGTCATTTAGGTAGGAGGGGCAGCAGTGTGTTTTGAGTGTATTGTTGGCAGCCACCAAGTCAAATAGATTTGGGAGGATGGTAAGGAGCAGGAAAATATAATTAAGGGCTTCCCTGGGTAGATTCAGAATTTATGAACCACCAGTGTATATTACCTGATGGAATATTTAAAGTAATAATGCCACATATGTCCATAGTAGTCCATAATCCAGACTTTCCATTCTTTTGGATTGGCCTTTTCCTCAATTTTTCTGGATTATTATATATTCATTACATTCATCTTTTTCACCAAGTCTTACTTTCCTCCTTCCTGCTTTCTCCCAATAGAGAGGGAAACAGAAAAAAGTCTAAAGACTATGAACAGATATAGGTGGAGTGTTGTGACACTGGGAAAGCGTGCTGTTACAACAGATGGCAGACCCTATGAGCGCACACACACACACACACACACCCATGCCTTACCCAGTACTGCAAGATCACCCACACGAATGATAAGGCCCAGGTCCAGAGTTACGTCAGCCCTGTGTCATTTCTCTAATGGCCACTGAGTGCTTCGGTTTGCCATTCACTCTCTTGTGCTTCTAAGAGACCTGTGACCCATGGGGACTCCATGGAGATGGCAACAGAGACCAATGCCTCCCTCAGTGTAGCATTTGTTCCCCCTTTAAGTTTTTAAAAGACATGTTACAGACACTGAAGGCCCAGGAGACTATAATCATTTTCTTACCTTGATGAAAATCTAAGTTTAAGACTTGCCAGGGGTTCCCTGTTGCGATGACCTAAATGTGTCCCCCAAAATCCATGTGCTGGAAACAACCCCCAATGCAACAGTCCTGGGAGGTGGGGCCTGTGGTAGGTGTTTGGGTCGTGAGAGCTCCGCCCCGTGAATGGATTATGTTTAGGTCGTGAGAGCTCCGCCCCGTGAATGGATTACGTTGAGGTCGTGAGAGCTCCGCCC